TTTCATAACATTGAGCGCTTTAGACTAGGGCTATAACTAGCTGCCTACAGAGAGTCGATCTGAAAATACTTCCATTGTTTTGATTCCCTCTCTTCGCTGTATAAGAGAAATGTACTCAACCTTCCCACTGGCCTGAATGAGCCACATTGTTTCACAAAAATCAAAGTCAGAAGATTAGTACATGTAAACTTTAACCAGTAATGATTTCAGAAATAACACGGAAGAAATGGCGATAACTGTCAGTGGTCAGAAGTCGATGCATACGTTAGGCCTTTGTACAGACCTATACGCTTACGATCGAAACCCGAACATAATATGATGGCCACAAAACGCCGCCAGAATGAATTCTGGTCAAACATATACTGCTTGCACTTGGTAATTACCCTTGGTATCCATAAAATAATAATATGGAAAAAAAAGTCTAGGGCCTCCTTCACCTAAAAAAATATCATGTTCTGTGTATCAAATATTAATATCAACACTGACGCTCAGTGAAAGTGACCGGCAAACTGCATTCTAAACCCCTCCACATCTGAATAATACGATACATTTAAATTATTTGACTATCTGCATGTACAGAAACATATCAACAAGCGGAGACTGCATTTGAAAAATTAACTTACCTCATCCGAATTCACAGATCATCTGTCAGGTTCCAGTTGCTGACAATCAATTGGTTGTAATAGGGGGTGTAGGTAGGTCACGGGACTACGCGAGACCTAACGTTATTTAGTACTTCCGGTGACAAACAACGTCCCGCTGCAATGGCGACAGCAGTGTCACGTCGGACAGGGCCCGGCGAATCATATTTGGAACACGCAGGTGTAAGAAAGAAAAACATGACACTGTCACAGGCATTAAAACACTCGGGTTAGGTAGCATGAATAGCAAGTGTTGGCTTGTCAAAGCAGTTGCAGTGTTGTCAAGACGTCCTATGGTCGATGTCAAACTGGCCGCTACCCATTCATAAATATTGAGGTAAGATTTCACTTTTGCACACTTCTGATAAGTTGGTATAATTGTCAGTGTTGATAAGTCAATACTGATCGGTTCATCATCACACGTACAATGGTGATGGCGTTGAAAAATGAGCATAAACATTCGTTCTGAAGGTAATTGCAATATGCTCTCGGTTTATGCACCATACAATGTTATTTGCAAATTTCCATTACATCTATCCTGAGCCTTTTCCAATGATAAATGTTCAGCTCTGATAAGGAACGTCACAGAATTATATTTGTAGGTACAGGGGAGATGCCACAAACTCTAGTCATATTTAAAGAAGGCCTATCATGTGCATGTTGGCAACGCAAATTTTGTCAATACTTAATGTTGTGCAAGGAGACTTATGGGGGTGCCTGTGTTAATAAATAAGGATATGTGCCAATATCATGATGATAATGTTACGTGCACTGAAAAATCAGGTTTTATTCACACAATAAAATATTAATCTGATTTGTAAATAATGATGATTAAATCCTTGCGGTGTTTGTTTTTAAGATATCTGAAATGTGACCTCACTTAAATGTATTCTGTATGATGTGAATAGACTTGATCATTACAACCCCATTTAGCATTTGTTTATCATATGCAGTTGAAAGTACAATGTACATGCTTAATTTATTAATTATATCTTGATGTAGGCATTGTAAGAAATGGTTGGTATTTTAGAAGTATATATTATATGTTCTCATAAGTGTTATTTATCTTTTGCAGTTGGACCATATTTCCATGTTTGAGGGGAGAAAGATTTCCTCATCTTACTCATGAGTAGATGCATATGGATCACCAGAATTACCTTGATGCCAAGCATTACTGGAATATTTTGTGGTCAAGCATTACATAGCCTGTGAAAGAACAACTCTTGTTGTGTATACAGGTGTAAACATATTAAAGTTCTATCTGAAGTACTGGTTCTGTAAATGATGTCTGTGACCACCAGAATACACCATATACACTGGACAGTTGCTGGAAGAGGACCTACTTGTCATCAACATGGTGTTGCAGAACATCTTAGGACTCTCTCATAAAATCTGGCACATTTATTTGTTCAGGCTTGGCATTTGGGAATATTTGCCATGAATGTTTAATACTCATGACCTTGGAATAAAATTACTGAATAGATCTGAAGCTTATTTATTGTTTTTTGTCTGGGATAATGCCATACATAAAAAAGTTATTTTAATATTTCTGGTATCAGCCATGATACTGAATTGATAGTGAATATAATATCATAACAATGCACATTGAATGTGTGATAATAGATTTCCAGTTTATGTGTCACAATTTTCCAAGAAAATACAACAGATGCTTACCAATGAAAATTTAACTTAACCAATGGCATAGCAGTTGTTGCTTTGTGAAATGAATTCTTTGTTGAAATATTATTATGTCTTGTTTTTGCATCGCTGTTTTAGGGTCCAGCATACAAATTACACTCATTTGTTTGACTTGAATTTATTGGCAGAATATTTGAAATACACGAATATATGAAAAATAGGTGCAATTGTTTCTATCTCTGCATCAAGTCAATATGGTTGCACTAAATTGTGTTCATCAGTGTTGACTGAGTGATAAGTTGAATCTATTAATGATTGGACTTGTGGCAATTTTTTTACTTGGTTCAATTGAGCCTCACAACCAGAAATATTAATTTAAAAACCCCTACCGTTCATCACAATTAATCTTTTAATCTTGCCCCTGCTATCAATCACAGTCTGCAGTGTTATAACAATTATATTGCTGACGAGGTGTAACACTTTTATTTCTTCCTTCAGAATAACATTACACATCATGTATTAGTAAGTATCTTTCTTAATGTAGGACATGTCATTGGTGATCGCCTCCATAATTCAGTGTATTTGTCTTGCATTTTGGCCAATTCTGACTTGAAGTTGCTGTGTGCTGGATGCTGCTTCATCTTTTGGTTGCTGTACAGCAGAAGTTCACTCCTGTATGACCAAGAAAAAAACCCATTCATGTTCTGCAACAACATAGAACTAGACATCAAGTACATACACAGTGTAAAATTACCATTGTCCAACACCAGTTCTATTCATCACCGGACTTAACAAATCATGTTTACACAATTTGATAAATAAGTATATCACTGAATATTCATATGGAATACTAGTAGCAGTTACTTGTTGCAAAAACCTGAAACCACCTGAGACTAAGAGGTCTTTCATTGAAATATGTGAGTAAAATAAAACAAGTTGACTTACATACTTTTAATATAACCATGATAATGCATATTCAAATGTAATTCGAAATTAAGGGGTATGTGTGTTTTACAGGTTAGGGTTTGATATATTTATTTCAAATACTAGATTATAGTAATCAATATAATGTATTGACTTGCCTTCATGGTTATTTGATTAATTGTTGAGTGATTTGTGACACTATAAGTTTTTATGTTTATTTTTCCACATATTCTTTTTTGGTACCTGTTGATTAGAAGACCTTTATTTTATTTAATTTGGATATTTTTTGGGGGGATCAATATATTTACAGGCAGCGCTAAGAAAAACTATTTGGCATGCAGTAATGACTGTCATTCATCCAAAGTAGAGGAGATCATTCATTTTCTCGCAACTTTCAATTATTTAAAAAAACACGTTTTTTATTATTATCTTTTTCTTTGTGTGTGTGTGTGTGTGTGTGTGTGTGTGTGTGTGTGTGTGTGTGTGAGGGGGTCGGTCTTTTGAGTCTTTCTTGTTAATTTTTGACATCCGCACTTCATTACAGTCATCCAGTACATGTAGGTGAGAGTAAACTTATAGTGCAATCTACCATTGTGCTAGAAATAGTACATCTACATTATTATATCTATTCACATCTAATATACAAACTTATTTTGATAATTACACAACAAATTATGCACAGGCATTCTACATTGCATAAAAACCCTCTTGTCTCCTTCATAAAAAAATATTTAAAAATAAATTTCTTCTCAAAATTAACAAATTTCTTTATGGAATATTATTTACTTAATTAAAGGTGTGTGATAGAGTAAACATGGTAAATATGACCAAATAAAGTGCATATTAAATTTTAAGTTCCAAACACATGACTGGGTTATTAAGTATTATAATTACTAAAAAAATAAATAAATACAATATACTTAAATAAATTTTTAACGTTTAAAAATATATTCATAGCATAGATTTTCCAAATTTTCATGCTCCAAATCTTGCCTAATCTCATTAGGAGATAAATATTTCGTTTTGTAAGATTTGCGTTGGGGCGGGGGGGGGGGGGGGGGGGGGGGGGGGGAGGTCAAGCATGTGCGAGATTTTAGATATGCAGCTTAGCTGGGATGGAAAAAGTTGTTTACTGTCACAGTGGAATTACATATGTGAAAGAGACCATTGGAATTAGCAGAAGAATTAACCTCGAATTTTTTATGGTAAAAAGCACCATTGTTGGGATTGAGGAGAGACATGTATTTTTTGAATGAAAGTACAGGACAGAATTGGTCCGATGTTGCTTAAATGCATTTGTTGGGCCCATTTGAGTCTTTGAGGTCCCCCCTGTGATTTTTAGTGACTTCGGAGTGTGTCATTTCAATGAACTCAAGCCCCTGTTCATCTGTGGATACACGAAAGGAAGATGCAGTTAATTCCCTTTGGTTTTCTTTACCACGATGAGCAAAACCGAGTGGAAGGTCGAACCACACTTTACGAAGCAAGCCGGAAGGAGTTTCCGTATCCAAACTTTCACGAATTTTTTTAAAATCATTCTCGGTGATAGCAGCATGATGTGTTGTCTGGTCAAGGCCATCGCACTTAAGTTTTTTTTATCATGGACAGAAAAACATTGTTTGCAGTGTGAAAATCCCGGTCTTGGATAATGTTTATGCTGCGCTCAAATGGCGGTCCCCTGATGTGCCTGTGTATGGCAGCACGCAGCCCAACAAAACTCGATTTTGAGTAAAGATCTCCCTCAGCATTTCTGACTTCGGCATAAAAGAACCTCAGTCTCTCATTCATTTGAGAAGCAGGAAGCTCTTCGAACTTGGGTTCAAAACCTCGGAAACCAAGCCATTCTGGAAGTGAAAAAGATTGCCTTGTTCAGGGTACAAATGTGACAGTAAGTGGGAGTAATTTGTTATTAGTCCTATTACGGCGTCGTGTTTAAATGAAATTTTCGTACATCCATTTAGCATAACATATCTCAAATCTTACAAAACGAATTATTTAATTTACGTTAAGATTTTGGCCAATCTCGTTATATTATTGCCAATTTTTGCGATGACACATTGGTCACGCTTTACATTGCTATCATGGCAATGGTGTAAGGGAGGTAACTCTCGCTGATCGAATCTCTGTAGGAATTTTAGGTATGTGTTTATGTATTCTTTCATGTTTCAATGGCTTACGTCGAAATATTTTAACTCCCCAGGAGGTATTACGCCCAGTAGATTTGGAGAGGTTCCCATCCACGATGTCCTGTACTGCATTTGCATCAAGGGACGCAAAGCGGTCACTGGACGCTTGAACTTTGGGCTCTACGGAAACGCCGCCTGTATTTCCTAGTTCAGGGGCCATCTCAGAACGGTTTTCAGCTTCAACAGCTGTTGTGAGTTATAATAATAACAAAATTAGGTGGGTGAAGGAAAGTCATAACTATTATGGAGGTGCAATAAATGTTTTTTACTCTTGTTAAAAAATGATTTTCTTTTCTTTTCCCTTTTGCCAAGCCCAAGAAAATTACATCATTTATGATTATGATTGGGTAATTAATGAAAAAAGGTAAATTTCATTTACCTTCAAATTCTTGAATTATCTCAGAAAATATCTCGTCGTCCCAATCACTCAATATTTCATCGAAATCTCCGATGTGGAAGTCAGGGTAAATTTCCATCTGTTCCTCCATGTTGATGATTTCAAAAATAGTTCCATTAATTAATGTATACATACACGGTGATGAGACCCCAAAAATTCGGCGATGTTATGCTCATTCGACAACACTTTTTAACCAATCAGATCAGAGAACATACCTACTTTTATGTTACAATGCCTATTAAAACTGTCAAAGGTACGGCTTCCATGACACTGCTCATGCTGTCAGATACCAGAATACCGTGGTAAGTTGGCTAAAGTGGCCTACTTATTAGTAGTTACATCTTCATAAATAATATTACATCACAGAAACATGTGACACATCCTCCGTAATCATAAAACACTGTCCACTGAGACTATAAATACACGTCTGAACGATAGTACCGCAATGGTTGTCAAAATTATTTTAAAGGTTAAGAAAAGAACACATACTTTACGAACGGTCCCATGGTTGTCAGTTGTCAGTCAGGAACCGATAAACCTAACAGGAATGACAAATAACCGATCACATTTTTCTGAAATAAGTAAACTTTTACGACTGTCAACAGCGATGACAACCAAGCGTGGTAGTTTACTTGGTACCGTCTACAGAGTTAGCTATGGCAATCGCGCATTTGGAAAGCAGAATTAGTTCACGAGTATAGGCATGTCATCGGAAATGCTGGCACCGGAAGTAGCGCTTCGCGACACTTACGGGCCCTATATGTCCAGAGTCAGCTTGAACTAAGATGGCTGGTGACAACAAATCTTCCGCGACAATGTGACGTCATTCTGACGTCACTTCACGAGGCAACAAGCCAAACTTTTCAGCAGTCGCTCTCACGCCGCAAAAAATGCGCGCATTGTTTTTAACTGTAATATTGCTTGTGACAACATTTAGTAGACAGATTACTTCGTGAATATATATATTTGTTTAACAAAATAAAACTAAGAGATGGTAGATCTACAATCGGTTTCCTAAACATTATTTACAAAACGTGTTGTAATGTCCAAAGGACAACGTTATCATAACGTTAATTTGCAACGTTGTTGTTACGTTGTGGAATAACGTTACAATGTAACGTAATACTAACGTTGTCATAGTGATACGCAATTACGTTCTGGAAATTTTAGTATTAAGGTAATACCTCACTGCCTTGTTATTCTGGCAAATTCATGTTCATTTTGATAAAGCAGTTCTATTCCTTTATGTCTATCGAGAAGCAAACTGTAAAACGTTTCACTGACGTTTCAGAAACGTAGTTACACAACGTTGTGTGATGTCAAATGGACAACGTTTTCACAACGTGAATGTGCAACGTTGTTATAACGTTGTAAAATGACGTTGCATGTTGACGTTATAATAACGTTGTGACAACGTTATATCACGACGTTACCAATCCACAACCTTTCCACAACGTTGTGACAACGTCGTGTGTTAGCTGGGATCACACCGTACGACTGCACATACAGCAGCTTACATTAGTATTATAATGGCTCTTCAGCCCTGGGCCCCGTTCCACAAAGCGATCGTAGCGCTACGGCTGTCGTAAGTCTATGTTAAAGTATGGGAGTTACAATCATCTTAGCGCTGCGATCGCTTTGTGGAACAGGGCCCAGCATACGACTGCAAATACTGCAGCTTACATTTGTATTATCTTGGTTCTTCAGCACAGAGGAACATCACATCGTCGTTTTACTACGCATACAGCAGCTTACATTGTATTATAATGGCTCTGCAGCCTGGCGACAACAATACCCCCGAAAATATAACAAATCTGAATCTGTCCCCACTGTCACAAATCTGAAACATACAGACAACAGATTAAAACATTGAAAATGCAGTACTTTTCACATAAAGAAATACAAATAATCTTGCTTGCACTTAGACCGAGAATGAACTATTTAAATCTTCACACACCCTAAGTACACAAGTTTAACGCCACCTACCGGGGCGGACTACTCACTTACATCAACGATACACACCTCTAGGCGAAAGTAATTTCCTTCTAATTCATCCTTCAAACCAAAGAAATAATATTTCTCCCATGCCCAACAGTTACGCAACATGACAACAACACACTTAATAATGGGACACGCTGTGCGTTGCACGGCCGAGAGCTACAAAGAAAGTCAAAGACCAAGAGAAAGGAAAACTTTCATTCTATTATTAATACTATCCTAAATATATCCGTCCTTAGCATTCTCACTTTTCCATCTTCCATGTCTTTTAAACATACGGTCAGGTATGCCGCTGTTCGCTGCTGCTGTAGCACCACCACTACGTAGACTGTGCAGACCATAACTTTTAATGTTCGTAACAAAGGGAGACAATGCATCTAAGTTCCCTCAGTCTAGTGTAAGACATAGGATTGTTGCCTTTTCTTAACACATAACCAGACGCACAGTTGCTGAGGTTTCTGAAAACATACTGATCAGAATCAGCCGGAATACATGCAAGTTTTAGATATCGCTCCAAACATTCAACTGGACACAATTTCGATTAAGTTCTACTGATAACAATCCAGAATCCGTCTCTATATACATCTGTTTTAGACTCAATAAAAACTGTCATGTGAGATTCATAAAATATTATATCCGAACGGGAAATATTAATCAGTTCAGAAGATCTTAAGAATCAAGCATAAGCCAACAAGCACATCGCTAATATTACATTTACAATTCTTGAATCGTACACCTCTTTAACAACAGACTTAGCCAATTTACGTTTAGCTGCTTCCAACACATTTTTCACAAGACTATTTTTAGTAGGACTCTCAAGCCCCACACTAGAACACAACAGAAGGCTGTAATGACTGGTGAAACTGTATCGCTCTGTTGGACAATAGATAAAAGATAAAAAGCACAATGCAGGTGCGAAATAGGTAATACCTTCCTCATACTCATAATAGTCCTCTGTAAGATTTTTTAGAAAAATGCAAATCATCAACAACGCCATCATGACTGAAATACTCAACTGACAGGTCTTGATTCAATTCTGATGAGCCTCCGGCTGCAAAACTGGACATTCTCTGGGCTGACAGGTTGTTTTGGGGACAGTCTCTTCTGAAGTGACTGAAATCACCGCACGTGAAGCATGCTCCTGTCTTCTGACCTTTGGCACGAAAAGGCTGGTTTGTGATTGGTTGAATATTTTGCACAGAAGAAGCAGGAAGAAAGCACCTTGCACGGGCCGTGTAAAGGTTGCTGATCACCTGGATGACCTACTTAGATACGGCGCTTGGCGTGAGCTTTTCTGACGAAGATTCTTTTCCAGCTAGCAGTTTCTTAATTCTTTAACGGTCTGACTGAATTCTTCCCTCAACGCCCCGCTGCAGTCATTAAGAGACAATTCAAACTGTGCTTTGTAAGTATCTAATTGTTGAAGTATAGCATCGAGTTTAGCGTCGGTATACATGACTAAAATAATCTGATGCATCGCTTGCACTTAGAGCGAGAATGAACAATCTGAATCTTCACACACCTTAAGTACCCCAGTTTAATGCCACCTAGCGGGGCGGACTACTCACATCAACGCTACACACCGCTGTGAGAAAGTAATTTCCTTCTAATTCATCCTTCAAACGAAAGAAATAATATTTCTACTCAATACTAGTGTATAAATTCACGATGTATAATTGAGGGTATTATTGTATGAAGGGGCACCCAGCAATATTCCAGAATAATATATCACGATCGGATGTAAATAATCGATTCTGGACCAGACAATGGTGAATCACAAGAATCGATCCACGAAATATTGGGAAACGATGACATGCAATCAGCCAAGTCACCGAGCCTCACCTCACCTCGCGATCCATTTAATCACCTCTTATGACACGCATATGTTTCTGGGACCTATGTGCTTATCTGGAATCTCCATGCGTCAGATTGCCTCTATTAATAAAAAAGAGGAAGGCAATGGTGCTAGATGATCCTTGGTGCAATAGCTATTCTTTTCTACTGTGATCTATATTGATTGGAGAATAAAGTGTGTGATCAACTGCAACAATTCTGGACCAAATGTATCACAAATGTCAACACATGACATAACATCCAAACAGGATTAAAACGAAAAGATTACTATCAAATAATTAATTTATTAGATATTTTAAACATGATTCTAATATACGGGGGCTGGTCAAAAAGAGTGAAACGTGACAAACAAAACCAACAATTATGAAAGTGTTTTTTTTATAACATACACTTTTCATATCACGCAATTCATATGTCAGGAAGGAGTCTTCTGATGCCGCCCTAAAAAAAACCCATTCACGGCAGGTCTTCGTTGTCGTCATAGTGCTTTCCACAAAGGTGTTGTTTCAGTTTAGGAAACAGTTAAAAATCACTTGGTGCCAGGTCTGGCGAGTATGGCGGGTGAGGAAGCTCTTCGAACCCGCATTGTCTCAATGTCGTGAGGTGTGAGAAGAGGCATTCTCATGAAGTAGTAGAACTCCAGCAGTTAGTATTTCTTGCCGCTTTTCTTTGATAGAATCTCTCAGGCAATGACGCATTTCAGCATCGTGGACACCGGTAATCTTCTTTTGACCTTCTTAGTAATCAAACAAGGATCACACCCTTTGCATCGCAGAATACAGTGGCAATGACTTTCATAACTGATCTTGAAGACTTGAATTTCTTTGGTGCAGGAGAAGTGGAATAGTGCCATACCATGGATTGACATTTTAACTCGGGATCATAGTGGTAGACCCATGTTTCATCACCCATATCTTTTGGAATTTGACGAATTCCTTTTCAAT